CCCCAAAACCCCAAAACCCCAAAACCCCATTAGTGAGATTTAGGAGAAATTCAGAATAAGCTAAAATATTGAATTGAAGATGATTTATGTATTCAAATGCATAATTCTTTGAGCGTTAATAGCCTTTTGTCATTAATCTTTCATTCCCTCAAACAAATCTAGATGTGTCATCGATGAACTTTTGACCATTAGCTAGAAAAAATTAAGATAATTAGCTAGCTTACTGATTATCATTTGAATGCCTGCGAAAAGACCCATAGAAAGTACCAAGAAGTGAATCATATGAGCCTTATTCTCATCATGCTGAGGAATATATATATTCATGAAGAACTTAAGAGAGTAGAGTACAAGGAATATCTATGAATAATATTAAGGGGAATTATTTACCATAACTAGACTGAGTTTTAAGGGAGACATAAAGCCTTTCTTAAGTATTTTGGCTGATGGAGTGAGTTTCCCAAATGCCAAATCCAAGCAATCATGATTGTAACCATCGCAATAGTTGTTAATGTAGTACCTAGTGACTGAATTATACCCATCATTAAGATTGCCTTTGAAGGTTCTTTTTCCAGTTCTTGTAAAATCTGTCTTTAAAGCAGGAGTGCCTGTGTACAGGATACTCACAACATTGGCATTATCAGTCCAGCACTCTCTGAAGTACTCCTCAAGCTAATCAGAGAATCTCTCAAAAGGACTACCAGATGGTTTGCCTGCAATTCCCATATTGTAAAGCTGTCTGTGAGCAATATTTCTGCTGATAACTGATTACACAACATTTGTTCTATCTAGGCAGTCCATACAATTCGTTCTGAAATTTCCGCTTTGTCTGCTTAGAATTGTGCATGTTCTATTGTTAATCTTGTCTCTCTGCTCCATTCCATATTCCAGTTTGGCAAAGAAATAAGAGTATGATTCAAGCTTGTCTGAGAAGCTGTCTAAGAGCTTAGCAAGGTTTTCATATTTCATTTTACGACATTCATGATGGAAATCAAACCAAGTGTATTTAATCATATCATCCTTCAAACTTTAATGCAGATTGGTAAATTACTTGCCAACTCTCAGCTAAGAACCCTTTTTATCTATTAGATTGATCATGTAGGTTTCACCATAAACAGACTTCATCTCATCTAAATGTTTCTGAGCAAGGGGAAGTGAATCATTAAGATTCGGATTAACTCTAACAGCTGGAGTGTATTTCATAGTAGGCTTTTGGGTCCACAACAACGGAATAGATCCTCTTGTCTGAATGTATGTTGTAAATTTGATAGTACCTTCATCGAGATATGAGAGAATATGCTCTGACTCTACAAAGTTTGCTACACAACCTTCATTATCAATACCCCTAACTAAAAATCTTCTCCCAGGTCTGCGGCAATCTTTCTTTGAGACGAGTGCAAAGTCGAATTTAGTCTTGTCAACTTGTACTGTCCTAATATAAGCGAATCCAAATATGCAGGGTACTCTGAATGGAGCCAACGTAAGACTGTCATAATCCTTAAGTAAGAAATTGTTGAAAGTAAACTTAGGGATGTAATTTATTGCATTAGGGTATAGTGACATTGCTTCAACCATTTGATTCGCATATCCCCCAATCATCTAGTTGCTACTATTCTATTGGATAGCCTCTTGAATATTGACTTGCATGCTCTTAGTTAAATCAACTCCATAAGAGAAGTAGAATGGCTTATCCTTTTAGATATTCTCAATCATATCTATGAATTGAAGGGCCTCTTGGGAACTATTATAGAATAAGACATTGATTGCATTGTATCTTACGCTTTGTATGTTGGATTAATATTCAATGGAACATAAAGTAATTTATCAACTCTGAACACATTAGCCATCAAAATATTTCCTAGGAATGTAGCCTCCTCTATTAGTATGAGAAATTAGCAATCAGGCAGTTCAATCTGTCCGAATATACCGTAAAGCTCTTTCTTTGATCTTGCCTATATACAATTAGAATAACTTATTATTGAGTTAATTACACTTTTTTCCTATTATTAAGTTTCCTCACATTCTCTGAGAACGCATCTTTTGATGAAACCTATATCTTTGACTGGAACAGCGTCTTATGGCAATGGCTTAGACGAACTGTAATAATATTTCAGCACAATTCCATTATCTCTGCGAATCAGAATGCCATCATTCAATTGAGAATACACGAATTTGGGTCTAAAGACTTATCTAGCATCTGTGTCTGCCATAATTGTTATGTATTGTTATTTAATGATTACTTTAATCATAAATCTAAGAGTTCAGCTGATCTTGCCCTACGGGGTTTTGGGGTTTTGGGGTTTTGGGGTTTTGGGGTTTTGGGGTTTTGGGG